CGGCATCAGAGCAACCACTCAAATGACTGGAAAACCACTGTCAGTTAAGAGGTTAATACCAACCTTCCTTTTCCTTTTTTTATTTTTTTTTATTTTTCATTGATAGACAATACATTATGGGGTTCATTCCGATCCCCTAAGTATATACGCCCCTCTTATCTTGGTTGTATAGAATGTATTTTTTTGGCTAACACTTTCCCAATAGCTCCTGCCAAGTTGGACCCGAACTACATGAAAGAGCCGCGCATGATTCAAGGAGCGCCTCGAATCTCCAAAACCACAAATAACGCGAGGAGAAAACCGGTCCCTAGGCTTCCAAATGACAACGGTGGTTCGCCGCCCTAGTTCAAGGACGACAACTTTTAAGAACGACTGGCCGTTTTGTGGATTTACTCATTCATTTTGCTATCCTCTTCTGTTTTCTCTTTCCCCTATTATCCCTCATTCGTCGCTTTTTGTGCTACATTCATTACCAGATTTTTGATATCCCAATACCCTCCCTGTTGCCATAGTCTGCGTTTGAACTTTGTTTCCGCTGCGTCATTGTTGTTGCTCTCGAATATCTATGACTCACTTCCGCTGAAATATCCATTTTTAAACCATCTATATCTGTATATGACTGTCTCATTTTTTTTTTTTCACTTAGAAGATTTGATGGACTGGAAATCTCCATTTTTGCCTATGACCACCCACCACCAAACTCTGCCATTCCACTCCCCCCCGTAACACTGTTGACAATCTTGGTTTATTTAAAGCCCACCCGTTATTGGAATGGATGGCATATTTTCATATTCAGATCGGGTCCTTGCGTGTTTCAATGTGTTTCTCCTCTTCTATTTTCTAGACATACCTTTTCTTGTTTTGTCTGCCCGGCTTGTTGAGCCACCCCCTTTTATTGCTAAGTTCCTTTTAGTATTTGAAATTTGTAATATTAATTAAATTGTAAAAATATGAGAAAGAAACTGAATCTTTAACTATAAAAACTTTATATAAAAAGAATTAAGTTATAAATCAAAAATAGCTGAAGCACGGAAACAGAGGGTGTGTGTGTGCTGGATGGTTACAACAATCTCACCATGGATCAATATGTTAAAACCTGAGACTTAAATAAAAGTTTAGTTCCAATCTCAACACATGATCACACAGTCAGCATGATGTGAAGTATTAAATGCAGAAGATAAACTCATACACATTTTACAATGAATTCAGTGCTGCATAATGAGGGTGATTTTGAACTAGCGTACATACTGCCACCACAGGGCTAAAAGCGGACATTTTGAAATCAAAACTAACATGTTAACTCAGTAACAATAATAACACACCACCAGAACACAGGCATCATTCATCAGAAAGGAGCTAGAAGCTGCCAAAACAGAAGCATGGCGCTGTATAACCTCACTAGCTGTCGTGCTTGGTCCCAGAATAAATTGCTCCTGACGTGCCTGAAACTTCGTCCCGGAGCCTGTTGGACCCCTAGTTTTCATACCAGCCAAAATGGTCTGCCCCTTCAGTCGTTTGTGCAGGTCCCCTGCTGAATCGTCTTCCTCATCTCGTGGCCTCTTGCTTGCCGGTTGCACATCTAATTTGTAGATATCTCGAAGATATTGATCAATTGGGGTGGCCGACTCATCGCCAAAGTGTAAGTCAAACAGCTGTGCAAATTGCCGCCGAATTCTCGCATCTACGACATAGAATCTTGGACTTCCAAGGGCAGCCATTGCTCGCCTAAATGAAACCATGGGATTCGCCATGCCAGATTTTTGATGTGACGAAAGAACGGAGGAAGTCCAGCAACAACAGACTGCCGTGGAGATAATCGTTTAAGAACACGCGTCTATACAACCCCCCGACTGTATGATTCCATTTTGTTGTTGAAAATTTTTGTAGTCGCTCGCTGTCGGTACTTGGCGCTGGACAGGAGAACCAGCCTTCGGCCGCTTGGGCGACGCCGCTCACGATCCCTCAACTCAAACTCAATAAAATAGCTTATGTCGGTGGGGAAAGTATACATAGCCGGGGTCAATGGAGCGATCAAATTCAGCGTGACAAGATGGGCACAAGGGGATCGAGTTTTCAACCGATTTGTATGAGAAGTTGAACAATCCAGCCTGTTCCCGTAATTCTGCCTACAGAGAGACTTATCAGCACATTCTGGCAGCAGACGGAAGAGGGATAAAGTCCACCTGAATATCTTCCTGGGCAACAACACGACAAATATGTGGCGAGCAGGTATTGCAGGCCCAGCAGTTCGGACCAGAAAGCCGTTCCGTCTCGAACTTTGTCGTCTCGGAAAGTGCGCTGGAACCCGAGGAAGATCGAGACATCCTACGGATGCACTTGGAGAATGAAGGTAGCACTGAAAGGGCCATGTTGTCAGTCATATTGACGTTTGAAATCTTTTGAGCCAACCACTTACAAGATCATGTTGATCCTGGGGATGAAAATAAACATCACTGTCCCAGCCGAAGGGTAGAAAGAGGGAAGACGCAATAAGTAGGAAGAGGTCCTATTTTATAATGAGAAGTTGCGAGTTCGTCCAGTTCGACACAACGAAGTATGTATTTATTTGTTTAGCCTCCCGGCATGGAGACGTGCATGTACAGTACAATACACAAGGAGAAGCACAGAATTCAAATAGCAACTCATGAAAAGACTCAGTCCATATGGCCAACCGAGTGCAGCTGTATGTCACTGTGCATGCAGAGGCCCTACTGGGAACAACGGTATGGGTAGAGCCGTATTTTTATAGAGGTTTTCTCTGACGTTTTTTTGGTATGTTGAGTATTAGTGCCTTTAAACCACTGTAATAATACAGCAGAGTAAAATCCCCTATTCTAAAGAAGCTAGTTAATAAATGAAAACTTAGTTGATGATGGAGGTGGAATGTTGGTTCATTGTAACTATCTAGCAGGCGCAGCACCGCTTAAATATAGGTGTGGTACGTGGCATTCTAGCATATAGGGATATAGGGATGCCAACCGTTGAATATTAATATTCAAGTCTCATTTAAAATCACATCGAGAAATGTACTGCAATCAAATCGAATGACGATTAAACAAAAATGAATGGTTCCGCTGACCCCGTTCAATGGCCATCTGAATGAGTTCAATGTAAATGCCTATATAAACTATAATCTAATTTTTATCTACTTGTTATAAAATAATAATCGCGGAATAT